GTTATACTTATTGCATCTGATTTCTCTTATTCCCATTCTTAAAAACAAAAACAAAAACAAAACTTTAATTAACCTTTCACTCTTACTAGCTTCCCAAAACTGCTTTCTCAAGGTCACCAACAACCTTTATTTTGTTAAATCCAATGATTAGCTCCCAGTCTTCAGCTAGATGGACTTCTCTATACAACTTGACTGTGTTTGCATTGCCTATTAATTCTTCCTTTTGTTGCCTGTTATCTAGTAGGTTCTAAAGGGACATTAATGGAAATTCATTGAGGTGAGAGCCCTGAATCTGTGGAGTACTACAGTAAAAATTGCTTTCATATAGTACTTTAATATTCAAAATAATTTATATATTATATACTTTAATCTTTACAATAATCCCAGGTGAAAACTATGTTTAGATGAACTATCTTAAGAAAAGAAAGGATACAAAGGTATAATTACATACATGTATGTAGCTTCTTAGCAGCAGAAGCCTGTCTATGCTGCACAGAGTATACTGGATAATGGGGGTTGAGTAGAGGTGTATACTACAGCGTGCTAGAGATGGAATCTTGCCAAAGAGAAAAAAGGACATGAAAAAAAAGGTTAATTTTGTCCTATTTGTCATTTTACTCCCAGGCTATTTTAAAGTATAAGACATGCTAATATGAAAAGTTTAAAGTAATAGGACAGAATCTTTGAGGTTGATTATAGGAATGAAAATAAAAACTGTTAAACTCTGCCCTTACTCCTAATGAGAAATCACAAAATATGCTCTAAATTCCAATTATTGCTCCCTCTTTGCAAATACCCATTGATTAAAAAAAAAATGTATGAGGACATTACAGTTTAGTGCCCAACATTTTTCCCCTGAATCTCTAATATTGCAAGAGGATCTGGAACTCACTAGAGTTCTCTGCAGAGACTGACTTAAGAAGGTTGCCACTATCAGTATTTCTAGAGTTAGTCTTTGGGCACAAGGAAATTTAGGTAGTAATTATGGGAATATAAATAGTTGTCTGGTTACTACCCCCAGTCCCTGTCTCACACACACTTACCCCAGCCCTCCCCCACCAAATCAAATTCATAAACAGATGATCTGTAGCTCTTGTATGGCAATAGTTGCCATTCGTTGGAGCTAGTAAAACATTCTACAGAGCATCCTTCCATGAAGATTTAACTTTTGTCTTTCTTTGATCTGAAGTTGATAGAGGACCAAACCTAGACAAATCGATGATAAAGAGATCACATTACTGTCATTTACTTCCACATATTTAAGGATAAAAAGACCATCCTTACATGAAATTGTAATGCTGATTACTTTTGTCTGCTTACTTTAAATCCAATCACTTATCACCATTCATCAACATTCAAATAAATGGATGATTCCAGTTTCATAAATTAAGACAACACAATTCAGTGTCTTGACACTGCATTTGCTATCAGTTATGGTAGTCAAAATCTCAAGTATTAAAGAAGAAATGGTGCGTCTAACAAAATACTGCTCAAGGAACTGTGCTATTTTTACATAGTGTTTTAATGTTTTAAATTTATGCTAGGCACGTAGATGAATTCTAAAAGACTCAATGGTGTAGGTGCTGTGCCCACTCTGGCCTCTGCCTCTTGCTCACTTATTTTATTTTATTTTTAATTTTATTTTATTTTAATTTGTTGGAGATAGAGTCTCATTCTGTCACCCAGGCTGGAGTGCAGTGGCACAATCTCGGCTCACGGCAACCTCCGCCTTTTGGGTTCAAGCAATTTTCCTGCCTCAGCCTCCCAAGTAGCTGGGATTATAGATGCCCACCACCAAGCCCAGCTAATTTTTGTGCTTTTAGTAGATACGAGGTTTCACCATGTTGGCCAGGCATGAGCCACCACACCCGGCCGATTGCACACTACTTTAAATCTTAGTTTATCAACCTTTATATGATCTGCAATTCTGATATGTCCTCAGTCTGGTTTTGAGTTCAAAGACTTGTTTAAATAGAGACATACAATCTATCAGAGGTATTTGTGTCTAAACTCATGAGTGCCTTTAAGCTAGTTTCTTCTCTGAGCCTGGGTTTCCTCATATATAAGATAATAATAACAGCTACCTCCATGGAATATTGTGGGAACTCAACAGGATAACATAAGCCAGAGCCATTGTACCAATATTGGGGGAACCTGCCCCCAATATTTCAGCATAAGTTCTTTCTATTTTCCACAAGTGTTGGCTGGCTGAGAAATAAAGAGAGAGAGTACAAAGAGAGGAATTTTACAGCTGGGCCGCCGGGGGTGACATCACATATCGGTAGGACCATGATGCCCACCTGAGCCTCAGACCAGGAAGTTTTTTTTAAGGGTTTCAATAGGCAAGGGTGTGTAAGAACAGAGAGTAGGTACAAAGATCACATGCTTCAAAGAGCAAAAAGCAGAACCACTAATAAGGGTCTAGCAAAGATCACATGCTTCTGAGGGAACAGGACAAAGGGCAAAAGCAGAACCACTGATAAGGGTCTAACAAAGATCACAGGGCAAAGGGCAAAAGTAGAACCACTGATAAGGGTCTATGTTCAGTGGTGCACATATTGTCTTGATAAACATCTTAACAGAAAACAGGGTTTGAGAGCAGAGAACCGGTCTGACCACAAGTTTACCAGGGCAAGTCTTCCCAACTCTAGTAAGCCTGAGGATACTGCAGGAGACCAGGGCTTATCTCAGTCCTTATCTCAACTGCACAAGACAGTCATTCCCAGAGCGGCCATTTATAGACCTCCCCCCAGGAATGCATTCCTTTCCCAGGGTATTAATATTAATATTCCTTGCTAGGAAAAGAATTTACCAATATTTTTCTTACTTGCATGTCCATTTATAGGCTCTCTGCAAGAAGGAAAATATGGCTTTTTTTGCCCAACCCTTCAGGCAGTCAGGCCTTATGGTTGTCTTCCCTTGTTCCATAAAAGTCACTGTTATTCTGTTCTTTTTCAGGGTGCACTGATTTCATATTGTTCAAACACACATGTTTTACAATCAATGTGTACAGTTAACACAATTATCACAGTGGTCCTGAGGTGACATACATCCTCAGTTTATGAAGATAACAGGATTAAGAGATTAAAGACAGGCATAAAAAATTATAAAAGTATTATTTGGGAACTGATAAATGTCCATATTAAAATGAAATCTTCACAATTTATGTTCCTCTGCTGCGGCTCCAGCCAGTCCCTCCGTTCAGGGTCCCTGACTTCCCATAACACACCTTGTCCTCCCTTTCCCTTGCCTGGGGATACCCCAGAAGTGTCCGTGCAAGAATCAAGAATGTGTTTTACTCACAGAATAATCTTTCCTTAGGTTTTTTTTTATAACCCTCTTTTCCCATAGAAATCATCATAATAGAAATGGAAATAATACAAGACAACCTACAATCTCGTTACTCATAACATATACTTATTCATTCAATATTATGTCAATATAATATTTCATACACAGTAATTTAATATTCAGTCCTCTTATATTGGAAATTTAGCCCCAGCCCCACACCCTGCTGTAATGAATATCCCTTTGTGTTTACATTTTTTTCTCTTGATTTCCTTTGTATAAATACATCAAGGTTGGATAATCGGTTCAAATTATAACAATATGATATTGATTGGATCATTTAAGTACAAGTTAAGAAAAAAGTCCAACTCATCATTCACTTAGCAGGTTTTCTCTACACATTTCTAATACTGGCTTCTGCCAGCTCTAACTTTACTAGGTTCTTGTAACTCATAATTTCAGGGAAAGAGACAGAAGAGAGTGAGAGGGAGAGAGAAAAACATACCCTTGAACCAATCAGTGTGGATCATGTGCATATATAGGGAACAGGGGAGGGTCAACCCTATCCAAGTAACATGGACTGAAAAAATTTTTCTGGGTTAATTCTCCAAAGAAATGATGGACACACCAAAATGTATACAGTTCCACTGTAAATATTTATATAAATGTTTAGGCAAGTTGATAATTTTATTTATTATTATTTTTTGAGACAGGGTCTGTCTGTGTCACCCAGGCTGAAGTGTAGTGGTGCGATCTTGGCTCATTGCAACCTCTGCCTCCCAGGTTCAAGTGATTCTCCTGCCTCAGTCTTCCAAGGAGCTGGGACTACAGGTGCCCGCCACCATGCCCGGCTAATTTTTGTATTTTTGGTAGAGATGGGTTTCACTATGTTGGCCAGGCTGGTCTTGAACTCCTGACCTCGTGATCTGCCTGCCTCGGCCTCCCAAAGAGCTGGTATACAGGCATGAGCTACCACGCCCGGCCAATAATTATTTATTAAACCCGTATTGTTTGCTTTGAAAAATATAAAGCAAAGTGAAACTTGCCCTGAATCTTCAGTGGTCCATGATTCAGTCAGAAAGTTGTACATGTACATTCATTGCCCTAGAAGGGATATCTCTTAATTTTGCTGATGAGAATCTGAGGTTTAAAATTAGAAAGTAACATGACTAGACCACATAGGCGAAATACAATGCAGCTTGTTCTAGTACTGAGTGTTATGACATTTTACATTTGATCTCATTCTAGACCTGAAGTATTCTTCACACACAAAGCAATGAGGAAAGGATAGGAGATGATAAATAATTTGGTATTCAAATTTGTGAAACATACGTAGACTGTCATAGGAATTCAAACTATTCAGTTACAAGAGTAAGGAACACAGAGACAAATTTTTGCCACAAGTCTCTTGAAAACAAAAATGATGGGATTTCTAGAGGGTGTGTGACAAAAGATAATCAGGATTGGCAGAGTGGGTCCAGGCTGTGCAAAGACCACAAATATGAAGTGCATGAATTTGAATGTGATGTGCTCAATGGTGGCAAGTCATTGTCATTTCTTCACCAGGAGGATGGCACAAAGAAAACAGTGTTATATAATCAGCAAAAAGCAATGTTGTCTTGCTCTAGGGAAACTGAGGGACCTGGAAACAGATTTTCATTTTACTGAGCTTTCACAATTGTTGTTAAACCCCAAAACTTCCTTTTTCTCAGAGCATGAAGAATATTAACAGAACTAAAGCAGGATCAAGCCCAATGCACTGATGACGAATATCCTAAATGGAACATGCTCCGTCATCTCAACATGTTTGACCCTCACATGACAAAAAATCAGCATCGATGATCCCCAGGAAGAGGGGGTGGTGGCACTTTATGATCGGAAAGGTTCTTTCTGCTCCCAGACTTTCCTAATGCAGCCCTCCATTCCAGGTAATTAGGTTTCTAATCATTAAATGAGGCAGCATTAACAATTCCTTGACATTTCAGCCCAAAGGCCAGAGTACAGATGAGAAGATTTTACTCTTTTGCATATCTTTTCCTTCTCTTTAAATTGAAGGTTATTAAAACTGACCCACTGGACAGGCCTAAGAATACATCCAATTCTCCTTGGAGGACTTGGGTGTGGTAGTAATTAGACACCATTCAGGCTATTGGTCTCCAGTTGGTAGACTGAAAAAATAGACTCAAACAAAGCTTAAAATGTTTTGAGGACAGGACTTCTTCACTTTATATTTGTTTGCCTTCAACCTAACTATGGGATATTGCCTGTACTGGTGTATGTGCTCAATAAGAATTTGAGTAGTAAATGAATGAACCACATATAACAGTTGCTTATTAAACATTTGGTAATTGCCTTTTTACTGGTTTACAAGTTTTCTGTCTCTGAATGTTTGTGCCTAGAAGTCAGTAAGACAGTAAGAAGAGCTGTGGAAAAGAAGAAGAAGAGAGAGAAGAAAGAAGTGTTAACCTCCCTGTAGAGAAAAGTAACAGATGGACTTTTGTTATCCTTATTGAAAAGCCTCCTGTCAATTGTAATAATAGTTTTCAAAGCTATAAACAGAATAAAGAGGTAAGTGAAGATGCCATTGTTTTGTCAAATGTCCCATTTTTAAAGCTTAGTATAGTAGCTAGCACATAGGAGACATTCATGCATATTTGTAAGATGAATGAAATATGGTCCCTTCCTTCAGAAATTTTATAGCAAGGGAGACAAAATGCCAGGGAATTGTGAAAACTTAGAAATCTTATATAGCTTAATACTCAATTAATGGTCAACTCATCCATAGTTAATCAGTAATGAATTTATCTCTGGAGCCATTTCCCAGAATAGATACTTCTGTGTCAAAAGGAAATCCTGAGAAAATCAGAAGATCAAATATTGCAGTCTAGTTGGGTAAATAATGCATATGTTTATGAAACAATGAGAGAATAAAAACTTAAATGAAAAAATTCCCCGATTGAAACCTTTAATTGTTAGATAATTGCCCTGAAACACACAACAAAAGCTTTGGAAAAAGCATCAAATTTGTAAGATATACATAGCTAGTTATAGCCTTAGTAGCTCTCATTTTGAAAAAAATATTTTGCAAGTATAGTTCACTACTAAGATATCCTGAGTATCCAAACCAGATGGCCTAAGATTTACTACCTCAAATATACAGCCCACATGTCCACTGACTTGTGTAAGGGGCTAACTGGGGATGTTAGATAACAACGAAGAAACATAAATGTCCTTGAAGTCAGAGAAAATTGTATGAAAATATGTAGCTGTCTACAGATTTAAAATGTTTAAAACACCTTAAAAATGTAACACAAGCAAAATAAACATAAGAAATTTTAAAGTGATTTTGGATTAACATGTTATGATGCAGAAGTAGTAGATGGATCCCTTGATATCTGAATAATCAAGAGCCCAGAGAGGATTTATAATTTAGGAGAGCTAATACACAGAGCTATATATGCTGGTCCAACACTAAGAATTCAGCAGAGCTGAATCAATGTCTTCCTGTAGAGACTTATAATTTTTTTCTGTCTTATTTTAGGACAGAAGAGTACATAGATAGGTGAATCAGAGATTTATATTTATAGTTCTATTTCTATTTGATACCAAAGCTTGCATCAGAACAAAATCAAACATTTAAAAAGGGAATTTTCATTTTACTTCTTAGTGCTCAACCCTCAAAAATCTTCTGCATAATATTGCCCCATGATCTTTGTATCTTGCCTCACCAATTAATAGCAGTTTAATTGGTATTCATTCAATAACACTGTATTCATTCAACAGACATTTACTGAGTTCCTGTTGTGTGCCAGATGCTGTGCTAGGCTCTGAACATGTCTAAAAATGACTGAGATAGAACCCATGCCCTGTCGGAATTCACAGCTTTCGAAGATTCATTTAGTTTAATTTTGTTATCAGTCATGAGCAGAAAAATGGCTAGTATGTTTAAGAGCAGATCCCTTGGAGAAGTTGGTGTGGACACAGATATGGAGAAAAATGTAGAAAATTAAGCTAGAAAAAGTATTAGGCATGTTCTTGTTAATGGAATTTCAATAGAGAGATAAATTTGAGTTTGAAATTGGGGAATGTAAAATGAGAAATGATCATTATATTTTAAAATAAGACTTTGATAGACATAAAGAGGATGGATTGGAAGACAGACTGAAGACAGATTATCAGGGAAAACTTTGAAATCTTTAAGGGATGTTGAAACTTTGGGACTAAGACTGCATAAATATGAGAATAGAAAAGAATATTCTTGAGCGTTTTTAAGGCAGACTTGACAAAAATCTTATTAGTCAGTAAGGAATTAGGAAATCAGATGTGTATGGATTATGATTAAAGCAAGAAGAGTTGTTGATACAGTTTAAATAGAAATATAAAATAAGAAAATAAAAGGCCAATGGCTGACTTTAGGGAAAGCTCAATATTTAAGAGACCAAGAAGAGAAAAAGGAACGACTAAAGAATCTGGAAGAGAATTATGCTTTATTACAGGTGAACACAGTGAAAGCAAGTACAAGAAATGAAGCTCAAGAATTACTTATTATGTAAAACTGGAACTCCAAACAGTTCACTCTCACTTTGTAATTTTCATGATGAGAAAAAGGACTTACCCAGTGAATTTGCTTATGTCATGGCAGAGCTAAGGCTCAAGCCCAATGTTGTGGTTTCATAGTCAATTTTTTACTTGTATTATACATGTTCCTTAATATTTAAACATTAAAGTTGGTCAGGTATGGTGGCTCACGCCTGTAATCCCAGCACTTTGGGAGGCCAAGGTGAGTGGATCACGAGGTCAGGAGATAGAGACCATCCTTGCTAACACTGTGAAACACTTTCTCTACTAAAAATATAAAAAGTTAGCTGGGCATGGTGGGATGGCCTGTAGTCCTAGTTATTCTGGAGGCTGAGGAAGGAGAATCACTTGAACCCAGGAGGCAGAGGCTGCAATGAGCCCAGATCGTGCAACTGCCCTGCAGCCTGGGCTACAGAGTGAGACCCCATCTCAAAAACAAACAAACAAACAAAACACAACAAAAAAACAAACAAAAAATCCCATACAAATATTAAAGTTAACTTGCTATTGGATCTTTCCCTTTCTCTTCTGCCTTATTTGTGTCTTCTGGAAATAAAATTTTAATTTAATAATATATATTCTTTCTTGATACACTCGGATTCAGTCGTGATCTGAGATTTTAAAAGCTTGAATTTAAGATATGTCCCTGAGCATGTTCCTAAATATCTCTGCAGCTTAATTCCCCAGTTGTAAAATCAAAGGTTGATCTAAATGATCTTTAGTATTCATTTGTATCTATGGTATCTTAGCTACCTAGTCAGATATTTGATGAGCAGCCATCACTAGGTGTGTCCCAATCTGTGTGGAGACAGATTAAGGAACAATATTCCACAGGCAAATTAGAAGCATCTCCAAGACTTTTCCAACTCTGGAGGCCCATGGTATATATTTTAGAAACATTCATCCTTAGACTACAGCTGGGGAATAGTCTGGGGCTTTTGTTGATGATAATAATGTCTTATCATATGGTTCTGACAGCATATAACATAGGTTATTTTGTCATGTCTGCTGTTTTGCTATTTTTGTGTCTTTGGGGAAAATAACTGACCAAATTAGGCTTCCTGCATATTCTTAAAATTTCATGATAAAGCTCAGAGCTGCAGCACTGCCCCAATTTCTTATTCATAGCTTGTTATTTTAAAAGATCTTGCATTTTACGGAGATATTATACAGTGCATATCTTGCTTGAAAGGGAAAAATTTTAGCCCACCTATATCTAACAGATAGAGTTGTCAAAAAGCACAGCAAATTCCCTTTTCCCACTTTCTCGATCTACCCAGGCCATTTCCAAATGTACGCTTTGTTTCATGAACATTAAGGAGATAAAAAAAAGCAGGTTTAAAAAAAATCCCTGGAAGGGCTATTGTGGTAAAGAGGGATTTTAATGATGTTTTGAAATTTTTTGGATGAATACTTTGATAGAACAAACTGAGAAAATGCTCAGGAAAGGATATGGGAAGCTTTCGCTATTCGTATATGAACTATCTGTAACTACATTTTCTGTTAATAAAATTGTATATAATACAGAGAAAATAATACATTTAATAAATTTCAATATATGACACATTTTTGATTGTCGTAATCCCCAATTTTGGGAGTCCTAAATTAAATATACAAATCTGGACACAGCGAGTATCTATTTCATTACAAATGGTTGAAATAGACTAAATAAATGAAAAATTGACATTAAAAAATACATTAGAATAAGATAACCAAGTGAAAAGGCAGAGTTTCTTCCCCTGAAGATGTTAAAAATTGGAATGAGTGCCAATTTTTAACATCTTACAGAATTATTTAGATACTCTCTTTCCTGAAGGCTAGCAGAACTATTTGACCTTCAGCAGTTCATTTCAACATTCAAAGCTTATGATTGCCTATTACTCTATTGTTTTCTCATTTAAAAGCTGGCTTAATATTCTCTTACAAACACAGGTTTTATATGTAAAGGTTTTTGTTTGGACTTGGAGTAGAGACTGAAATAGAATCTTTTGCTGCAGTATGGGAGTCAGGGCAGTGTTTCTGAAGTGTGAGGGCAGAGTGATTAGGAAGAGCTAATGTCCTAGCAGTTTGCACTTCTCATGCCTAATTTGATAAATGGTAATGAGCATCTGCTAATCTCCAGTGTAATGAGAACCTGTTTGTAGTGCTTACAACCTGAAAAAACTGTGTGTGTGTTTGTTAGGGTAGAGGAGAAATTTTCACTCTTGTATCATGACCACTCACTCACCCATGTGCATGCACGCACACGCATACACACCTTAAACCCAAAAAAATAATTATTTAATCAGTTGCAGGGTCAAACTGATTATATCTAAATTTAGTAGAGAATCCTAATGATGCTAAT